ATCTTTCCAAAAACATTTACAAACCTATTATTTCAAGATAGTGCTAGGTTGTAAGCATGCTAAGAGGTACAAGATAGCCCCCCTTCATGGTGCAACAGATAAATTAGTAAACTGAGATTCCTCTAGTATCCTGGGCTGGGGTCCAAAATGAGGTCATTCTTAGTAATAATCATCCTTGTTTGACTGATTCCTGTTCCTGCCTAATAGGGTCTGACGACAGTCACCAGCAAATCATACCACCATTGGTGGTAGCTGAAAACATTGAGTGGGGTCCTACATGAGTTCCCCAAACAGTTTGATCAGCTACCCAGAATTATTCCTATCTTTTTAAAAAATATTTTATTTATTTTACAAAGAGAGAGAGATAACAAAAGAGGGAACACAAGCAGGGGGAGTGGGAGAGGGAGCAGTAGTCTCCCTGCTGAGCAGGGAGCCTGAAGCGGGGCTTGATTCCAAGACCCTGGGATCATGACCTGAGCCAAAGGCAGACACTTAATGACTGAGCTACCCAGGTGCCCCTCCTTTTTTTTTTTTAATTGATGTATTATTATTATTGCTTTCAGAGGTACAGGGCTATGATTCTTCAGTCTCATATAATACCCAGTGCTCATTACATCACATGCCCTCTTTAATGTCCATCACCCAGTTACCTCATCCCTCCACCCGTCTCCCCTGTGGCAACCCTTGGTTTGTTTCCTATGACTGAGTCTCTTATGGTTTGTCTCCCTGTCTGATTTTATCTTGTTTTATTTTTTACTTTCTTCCCCTATGATCCTCTGTTTTGTAAATTACACATATCAGTGGATCATATGATAATTGTCTTTCTCTCATTGACTTATTTGGCCTAGCATAATACCCTCTAGTTCTATTAACGTTATTGCAAATGGTAAGATTTCTTTTCTTTCTTTCTTTCTTTCTTTTTTTTTTTTTTTGGTGGCTGAGTTATATATATATCACATCTTCTTTATCCATGCATGTGTCAATGGACATCTGGGTTCTTTCCGTGGTTTAGCTATTGTGGACATTGCTGCTATAAACATTAGGGTACAGTTCCCCTTCAGATCACTACCTTTGTATCTTTGGGGTAAATACACAGTAGTGCAATTGCTGTGTTGTAGGATAGCTCTAATTTCAACTTTTTGAGGAACCGCCATGCCAACTGCTCTGGAGTACTTTTTCATGTGTCTGTTGGCCATTTGTATGTCTTCGTTGCAGAAATGTCTGTTCATGTCTTTTGCCCACTTCTTAATTGGATTATTCATTCTTTGGGTGTTGAGTTTTCTAAGTTCTTTATAGATTTTGAATACTAGCCATTTATTTATTATGTCATTTACAAATATCTTCTCCCATTCTGTGGGTTGCCTTTGCTGACTGTTTCTCTTGCTGTGCGAAAGCATTTTATCTTGCTAAAGTCTCAAGAGTTCATTTTTTGTTTTGTTGCCCTTGCCTTTGGAGACATGTCTAGCAAGAATTTTCTGCAGCTGAAGCCAACAAGCTTGCTGCCTGTGTTCTCCTCTCGGATTTTGACGGATTATTCTCTCACAGTTAGGTCTTTCATCCATTTTGAGTCTAGTTTTATGTATGTGTAAGGAATTGGTCCAGTTCCATTCTTCTGCATGTGGCTGTCCAATTTTCCTGGCACCGTTTATTGAAGGGACTGTCTTCTTTCCATTGGATATTCTTTCCTGCTTTGTCAAAGATTGGTTGACCATAGAGTTGATGGCCCATTTCTGGGTTTTCTACTCTGTTCCATTGATCTATGTGTTTGTTTTTGTGCCAGTTCCATAATGTCTTGATGCTTACAGATTTGTAATAGAGCTTTAAGTCCAGAATTGTGATGCCACAAGTTTTGGGTTTCTTTTTCAGCATTGCTTTGGCTATATGAGGTCTTTACAGGCTCCATAAAAATTTTATGATTATTTGTTCCAGCTCTGTGAAAAAAATTGATGGTATTTTGATAGGGGTTGGCTTGAATATATTGATTGCTCGAGATAGCACAGACATTTTAACAATATTTGTTCTTTCAACCCATGAGTATGGAACATTTTTCAATTTTTTTTCCTGAGTGTTCTGTCACTTTCTGAGTACAGATCCTTTGCTTCTTTGGTTAGGTTTATTCCTAGGTATCTTATGGTTTTGGGTGCAATTGTAAATGGGATAGACTCTTTAATTTCTCTTTCTTCTGTCTCATTGTTAGTGTATAGAAATGTAACTAATTTCAGTGCATTGGTTTTATGTCCTGCAAATTTTTTGAATTTCTGTTCTGCTATTTTGGTTTCGTTTTCATTGATTTCTGCCCTAATCATTATTATTTTTCCTCTCCTGCTAAGTTTAGGCTTTATTTGCTGTTCTTTTTCCAACTCCTTTAGATAGGTGTAGCATTAGGTTGTGTATTTGAGACCTTTCTTGTTTCTTGAGAAAGACTTTTACTGTTATATACCTTCCTTTTTTTTTTAAGATTTTATTTATTTATCTGACAGACAGAGATCACAAGTAGGCAGAGAGGCAGGCAGAGAGAGAGAGGAAGGGAAGCAGGCTCCCTGTTGAGCAGAGAGCCCGATGCGGGGCTCGATCCCAGGACCCTGGGATCATGACCTGAGCCGAAGGCAGCGGCTTTAACCCACTGAGCCACCCAGGCGCCCCTATATACCTTCCTTTTATGACTGCCTTTGAATCCCAAAGATTATGAATAGTTGTGTTTTCATTTTCACTTGTTTCCATGAATGTTTTTCATTCTTCTTTAATTTCCTGGTTGACCCATTCATACTTTCGTAAGATGGTCTTTAGCCTCCATGTATTTGAATTCTAGCCAAATTTTCTCTTGTGACTGAATTCTAGTTTCAAAGCATTGTGGTCTGAAAATATGTGGGGAATGATCCCAATCTTTTGGTACCATTTGAAATCCAATTTGTGACCCACTATATGATCTATTCTGGAGAATGTTCCATGTGCATTCAAGAAGACTGTGTATTCTGTTGCTTTAGCATGGAATAGTCTGAATATATCTAAAGTCCATCTGGTCCAATGTGTCATTCAAAGCCCTTATTTCCTTGTTGATCTGCTGCTTAAATGATTTGTCCATTGCAGCAAGGGAGGTGTTAATGTCCCCTACTATTATTGTATTACTATTGTTGTGTTTCTTTGATTTTGTTATTAATTGGTTTATATAATAGGCTGCTCCCACGTTAGGGACATAAATATTTACAATTGTTTTATCTTTTTGTTGGATAGAGACTTTAAGAATGATATAGTGTTTTACTACATCTCTAAACTATGGTCTTTGGTTTAAAACACAATTTATCTGATATAAGGATTGCCACCCCAGCTTTCTTTTGATGTCCATTAGCAAGGTAAATTGTTTTTCCACCCCCTCACTTTAAATATGGAGGTGTCTTGGGTCTAAAATGAGTCTCCTACAGACAGCATATTGATGGGACTTACTTTTTGATCCTATCTGATACCCCATGTCTTTCAACTGAGGCATTTAGCCCCTTTGCATTCAGAGTAACTAGTGAAAGATGAATTTAGTACCATTTTATTACCTGTAAAGTGACTGCTTCTGTATATTATCTCTGTTCCTTTCTGGTCTATGTTGGCTTTGGGCTCTTTCTTTGCTTAGAGGATCCCTTTTAATATTTCTTGTAAGGCTGGGTTGGTGATCATTAATTCTTTTAGTTTCTGTTTGTCCTAGAAGTTTCTCATCACTCCTCTGTTTTCAATGAGAGCCTAGCTGGATAATAGCTGGAAATAGCTGCATATTTTTCTCATTTAGCACCCTGAATATATATCATGCCAGTTCTTTCTTGCTGGCCAGGTCTCTGTGGATAGGTCTGCTGCTAATCCAATTTTTCTACCTTTGTAAGTTATAGACCTCTTGTCCCCAGCTAGTTTCAGGGTTTTTATTTTGTCTCTAAGATTTGCAAGTTTCAGTATTATATGTTGGGGTGTTGACCTATTTTTATTGATTTTGAGGGGGGTTCTCTGTGCTCCTGGACTTGGTTGCCTGTTTCCTTCCCAGATTAGGGAAATTCTCTGCTATAATTTTCTCTAATATACCTTCTGCCTCTCTCTCTTTCCTCCTCTTCTGTGTATCCCAATTATTCTAATATTATTTTGCTATATCTCTTGAATTCTCCCCTCATGATCCAGTAGTTGTTTATCTCTCTTTTTCTCAGCTTCTTTATTCTCTATCCTTTTTTCCATATATCATTAATTCTCTCTTCTGCCTCATTTATCCTAGCAGTTAGAGTTTCCATTTTTTATTGTACTTCATTAATAGCCTTTTTTTTATACTTTGGCCTGGTTAAAGATTTTAGTTCTTTTATTTCTCTGGAAGGGGATTTTCTAGGGTGTTCTATGCTTTTTTCAAGCTCAGCTAGTATCTTTATAATTATTATTCTGAAATCTAGTTCCAACATCTTACATATGTCCATACTGATTAGGTCTCTGACAGTCAGTATTTTTCCGTGTTGTCATTCTGTTGAGAGAAGAATAGATGAGCAAGAGAACAAAATACTAAAATGGCAACAATGACCCCAGAGAAATACACACCAAACAAATCAGAAGAGTTCTGAAACCAAAAACTGAAAAAAGAAAAAAAGAAAAAAATAAATAAAGGAGAATATAATCAGACTGGTGAGTGGAATAGAGAAATACACTGGATTCTGTGTTTATTTTGGTCTATTTTTTAGAAAATTAGATCCCAAAATTGTAAAGGAAGTAAAGCTTATATATGTACAAAAATAAAATTAAATACAATGAAAGGAAAGAACTAATTGTAAAAATGAAAATTAAAAGATAAGGAAAACAAAAGAGAAAAAAATGCAGAACGAAAAAAAGGAATGGAAAAAAAAAGGAATGGATATAAACAGACAAGTGCACAGAATAGAGCAATACACTATCTTCTGAGTGTATTTTGATCAGTTTGTTAGAAGAAACTACATCTCAAAATTGTAAAGAAAGAAAACATATATGCAAAAATAAAAATAAAATTAATACCTTGAAAACATGAAAATTAAAAAGGACTTTAACAAAACAAACAAAAAAAAAACACACCAAAAAAAAGGAAGAATAAGAAAAAGAGAGAACATGAGCAGACAGGTCAATGGAACAGAGACATACACTAGATTTTGGGTGTATTTTTGTCTGATAGAAGAAACTTTATCTCAAAATTGTAAAGAAAGAATATAATACAAAATAGAATTAAATACAATGAAGGGATAGAAAGTAACTGTAAAAATGAAAATAAGAAAAAATTTTTTAAAAAGACTTGATAAAATAATATTGGTTGGAAAAAGAAAAAAAGTTTAAAAAAGTTTAAGTTGAAAGAAAAAAATCATGGGGGAAAATCCATGAATTCTATGTGCTGTAATCCCCTAGCACTGGAATTTTACAGTTCTCATTGATTAGTAAACTTAGTCTTGGCTGAATGTTTTTGCTGATCTGCTTTAATTCTCAAGTATTTTTGCCCCAGGTAGAATTGTACTGCCTTTGTCAGGGGGCCAGGCTAAATAATCTGCTCCAGTTTGCTCTATGTGTTTTTGTTCCCTGAAGGCTTTCTGTACAGCTTTAGAGGATGAGAATGAAAATGGTGGTCTCTCAATCTCTGGTCCTGGAGCCAAGTGCATAGGGCCCCACTCCTCAGTGCACACTCTGAGAAAAGCAGTCAATCACCCCTTTCTCCCTGGTCTCTTTCTGCACTCCGTGCTTACCCAGCCTGTGACCAAGCTTTTCTATCTCAGGCACACAACCCCATTTCACATCACCAAACCCTGCAGATGCCTGAGATGTATTCCTGCACTGCTCCTCCTGGGGAGGAAGGGAATTCTCCCAGATTCTGCCTTTTCCCTACTTGGAAAGCAGTTGCCTGACTTGCTGCAGGTCATGGTTTATGGAAAACCCAAGCTCAGAGGGCATTTGTGGACTTACTGTTTGCAGCCACCTTCCCTGCTCCGATGCCTGGGAGTTCTGCCACACTCATGCACCCCTGGTCTTCCTGTGACCCTGAGGATCCTGAGACCACACTGTCCCAGCAAGGGTTCCACCCCTTCTTAGCCACCTGAGTGATGTCCCTCACCGGAGTAGACTTCTAAAAGTTCTGATTTTGCAATCCACTGCTATATCACTTTTCAGTAGCTGGCTTATGGAGGCTCCCTCTCCCACAGGTTGTCTTCCCATATTCCTCAGATTCACTTCTAGCACCTCCTACATTGCAGAAAGTGGTCACTTTTCTGTTTGTAGGGTTGCAGCTGTTCTTTTCTTAGATCTCTGGTTGAGTTCACAAGTGTTCAGAATGATTTGATAGCTATTTAGCTGAATTCTTGGGACCAGATGACATTAAGGTCTCCTACTCCTCTGACACCTTGGACTCCAGACTCCTTCCCATTTCAATAATTTTTAAGTGTGTAGTCCAATAGTGTTAAGTTTATTCACATCATTGTGAAACTTATCTCCAGAACTTTTCATCTTACACAACTAGTATTCTATACTCATTAAATATCAGCTGCTCATTTTCTTCTCCCTTCAGCCCCTAGCAACCACCATCATACTTTATGTTTATAGTTTACCCTTGAACAACAGAGGATTTGGGGGGAACTGAACCTAAATATAGTCACAGACCTATGTATAACTTTTGACTTTTCAAAAGATTAATTACACACAGCCTGCTGTGGACCAGCAAGTGAACCAAAAAAATAAATAAATAAACAGCCAATTAACTCATACTTTGTAGGTTGTATGTATTATATACCATATTTTTATAATAGTCTATAGAAAAGAATGTTATTAAGAAGTTATTAAGAAAATCACAAAGAAGATGTTATTAAGAAAATCACAGAGAAGATGAAATACATTTGCAATTCTGTGTATGTATAATATATATGTATTTAAAAATTTTTATTTGAATTCTAGTTAACATAGAGTGTAAGATTGTATTCAGTAGTAGAATTGAATGACTCACCACTTACATATAATGCCCAGTGCTCCACACAAATGTCTTCCTTAATTCCTGGCATCCATTTGGCCCATCACCCACCCACATGCCTCTATCAATCCTCAGTTTATACTCTAAGGGTCTCTTATGGTTTGTTTCCCTCTCTCTGTTTTTTTTTTCCTCTTCCCATAATTTCATCTGTTTTGTTTTTTTCTTAAATTCCATATATAAGTGAAATCATATGGTAGTTGTCTTTCTCTGCCTGACTTATTTCATTTACCATAACACAGACTAGCTCCATCCATGTGATAACAAATGGCAAGATTTCATTATTTTTGATGACAGTAATATTCCTTAGGATATATACATCACATCTTTACCCATTCATCAGTTGATGGACATTTGGGCTCTTTCTATATTTTCACTATTGTTGATAATGCTTCTATACATGTGATCCTTCAGATCTGTATTTTTGTATCCTTTCGGTAAATACCTAGTAGTGCAACTACTACATCACAGGTAGTTGTAGTTTAACTTTTTGAGGAAACTCCATACTGTTTTCCAGAGTGGCTGCACCAGTTTGCACCCCCACCAGCAGTGTAAGAGTTTCCCTTTCTCTGTATCCTTGCCAACACCTGTTGTTTCCTGACTTGTTAAATTTAGCCATTCTGACTGGTGTGAGGTGCTATCTCATTGTAGTTTTGATTTATATTTCCCTGATGACAAATGATGTTGAGCATCTTTTCATGTGTCTCTTAGCCATCTGGATGTGTTTTTTGGAGAAATGTCTGTTTATGTCGACTTCTACCCATTTCTTAACTAGATTATTTGTTTTTTTGGGTGTTGAGTTTGATAAGCTCTTTATAGATTTTGGGTACTAGCCCTTTACCTGATATGTCATTTGCAAATATCTTCTCCCATCCTGTAGACTGACTTTTAGTTTTGTTGATTGGTTCCTTCACCGTGCAGAAGCTTTTTATCTTGAATTGACAATCGTTCATTTTTGCTTTGTTTCCCTTGCTTCCAGAACTGTGTCTAGTAAGAAGTTTCTATGACCAAAGTCAAAGATCTTGCTGCCTGAATTCTCCTCTAGGATTTTAATGGTTTCCTGTCTCACATTTAGGTCCTTCATCCATTTTGAATTTATTTTTGTACATGGTATAGGAAAGTGGTACAGTTTTATTCTTTTGCATGTGGCTGTCCGGTTTTCCCAACACCATTTGTGGAAGGGACTGTCTTTTTTCCATTGGATATTCTTTCCTGCTTTGTCAAAGATTAGTTGACTGTGGTTGAGGGCCCATTTTCAGGTTTTCTGTTCTGTTCCATTGATCTGTGTGTCTGCTTCTGTGCCAGTACTACACTGTCTTGCTGACTACAGCTTTGTAATATAGCTTGAAATATGGAATTGTGATGTCCCACTTTGCTTTTATTTTTCAACATTGCTTTGGCTATTCAGGGGTCCTTTGTGGTTCCATACAAATTTAGGATTGTTCTAGCTCTGTAAAAAAATTCTGGTGGTATTTTGATAGGGATTGTACTGAATGTGTAGATTGCTTTGGGTAGTTTAAATATTTTAACAATGTTTGTTCTGAGCACAGAATGCTTTCTTAGTTCCTATGTCCTCTTCAACTTCTTCCATAACTGTTTTATAGTTTCCAGAGTACAGATCTCTTACCTCTTTGGTTAAGTTTATTCCTATGTATGTTATGGGTTTTGGTGCAATTGTAAATGAGATCATTTCCTTGATTTCTCTTTATGTTTATTCATTATTGGTATATGGAAATGCATCAGATATATGTATGTTGATATGTATCCTGCCACTTTATTGAATTCATGTATGAGTTCTAGCAATGTTTGGGTGGCGTCTTTAGGTTCTCTACATAGAGTATCACACTGTCTGCAAAGAGTGAAAGTTTGAATACTTCCTTGCTGATTTAGATGCCTTTTATTTCTTTTTTTTCCCCTTCTATTTCTTTTTGTTGTCTGATTGCTGAGGCTAGGACTTCTACTACTATGTTGAGTACAATGGTGATAGTGGACAGCCCTGCTGTGTTCCTGACCTTAGGGGAAAAGCTCTCATTTTTTTTCCCAGTTGAGCGTGATATTCGCTGTGGGTTTTTCACAGATGATGGGTTTTTCATACATATTTGGGTATGTACCTTCTATCCCTACACTGTGAAGAATCTTGATCAAGAGAGGTTGCTGTACTTTGTCAAATGCTTTTTCAGTATCTATTGAGAGTATCTTATGTTTCTTGTTCTTTCTTTTATTACTGTATAGTATCACATTGATTGATTTGCAGATGTTGAACCAACCTTGCAGCCCGGGAATAAATCCCACTTGGTCATGTGAATAATCCTTTTAATGTACTATTGGATCCTATTGGCTGGTATTTTGGTGAGAATTTCTGCATCCATGTTCATCAAGGATATTGGTCTGTAATTCTCCTTTTTGATGGGGTCTTCATCTGGTTTTGGGATCAAGGTCATGCTGGCCTCATAAAATGAGTTTGAAGTTCTTCTTCCATTTCTATTTTTGGGGAACAGTTTCAGGAGAATAGGAATTAATTCTTCTTTAAATGTTTGGTAGAATTCCCCTGGGAAGCCATCTGGCTGTGGGCTCTTGTTTGTTGGGAGAGTTTTAATGAGTGCTTCAATCACCTTACTGGTTAGGGGTCTGTTCAGGTTTTCTGTTTCTTCCTGGTTCAGTTTTGGTAGTTTATACTTCTCTAGGAATGTATCCATTTCTTCCAGATTGTCAAATTTGCTGATATATAGTTGCTCATAATATGTTTTTTTACTTGTTTGTATTTTTTTTTTTTTTTTTTTTTTTTTTTGGTGTTGGCTGTGATCTCTCCTCTTTCATTCATGATTTTCTTACTTTGGGTCCTTTCTCTTTTATTTTTGATAAGAGTGGCTAGGGGTTTGTCAGTCTTATTAATTCTTTCAAGGAACCAACTCATAGTTTTGTTGTCTATTCTACTGTTCTTTTGGTTTCTATTTCATTGATTTCTGCTCTGATCTTCATTATTTCTCTTCTCCTGCTGGGTTTAGGTTTAGGGTTTTTTTAGGTTTTTTCTTTCTCCAGTTCCTTTAAGTATAGGGTTAGGTTGTGTACTTGAGACCTTTCTTGTTTCTTGAGAAAGGCTTGTATAGCTATATACTTTCCTCTCAGGACCACCTTTGCTGAGACCCAAAGATTTTGAACAGTTGTGTTTTCATTTTCATTTGTGTCTATGAATTTTTTAAATTCTTCTTTAATTTCCTGATTGATCCATTTATTCTTTAGTAGTAGGATGGTCTTTAGCCTCGATGGTGTATTTGAGTTCTTTCAAACTTTTCCTTGTGGTTGAGTTCTAGTTTCAACACATTGTGGTCTGAAACATGTAGAGAATGATACTAGTCTTTTGGTACTAGCTGAGATCTGATTTGTGACCCAGGATGTGATCTATTCTGGAGAATGTTACATGTGCACTAGAGAAGAATGTCTTTTCTCTTGTTTTGGGATGGAATGTTCTAAATATATCTATGATGCCCATTTGTTCCAGTGTGTCATTTAAGGCTTTTATTTCCTTGTTGATATTTTGCTTCGATGATCTGTTCATTTCAGTGATGGAGGTGTTAAAGTCCCCTACTATTATTGTGTTATTATTGATGTGTCTTTGATATTGTTATTGATTGGTTTATATAATTTACTGCTACCATTTTAGAGACATTGATATTTTAAATTGTTAGATCTTCTTGTTGGACAGACCCTGTAAGTATGGTATAGTGTCTTTCCTCATCTCTTATAATCTTTGACTTAAAATCTAATTTGTCTTATGTAAGGATTGCCACTGCAGCTTTCTTTTGATGTTCATTGGCATGGCAAGTTGTTTTCCACCCCCTCACTTTAAATCTGGAGTGTCTTTGAGTCTAAAATGAGTTTCTTGGAAATAGCATATCAATGGGTCTTGTGTTTTTTAACCCATTATGATACCCTATGTCTTTTGATTCGGACATTTAGCCCACTTACATGCAGGGTAACTATTGAAAGATCTGAATTTGGTGCCATAGTATTGCTTGTAAGGTGACTGTTACTGTCTAATGTCTCTGTTCCTTTCTGGTCTGTTACTTTTAGGCTCTCTCTTTGCTTAGAGGACCCCTTTCAATATTTCCTGTAGGGATGCTTTGATGTTTGCACATTCTTTTAGTTTTGTTTGTCCTGTTCCAGCTCTTTGAAAAATGCCAGTGGAATTTTGATCAGGATGGCATTGAAATATAGATTGCTCTAGGTAGTATGTTTAATAATGTTCATTCTTCCAATCCATGAGCATGGAATGGTCTTCTATCTTTTTGTGTCTTCTTCAATTTCTTTCATGAGTGTTCTGTAGGTCCTCAAGTATAGATCCTTTACCTCTTAGGTTTATTCCCAGGTATCTTGTAGTTCTTGGTGCTATAGTAAATGGCATTGATTCTCTAATTTCCTTTCTATATTTTCATTATTAGTGTATAAGAAAGCAACTGTTTTCTGTACATCGATTTTGTATCCTGCCACATTACTGAATTGCTCTATGAGTTCTAGTAGTTTGGGAGTGGAGTCTTTTGGGTTTTCCTTATAAAGTATTATGTCATCTGTGAAGAGAGAGAGTTTGACTTCTTTTCCAATTTGAATACCTTTTGTTTGTTCTGGAAGCTTCTTATCTCTCCTTGAGAGAGATATCAATGACAGCCTAGCTGGATATATTATTCTTGGCTGCATATTTTTCTCATTTAGTGCTCTGAATATATCTTGCCAGTCCTTTCTGGCCTGCCAGGTCTCTGGCAAACACAAATGTGAGACAGAAGGGCCATGGAGATGGGCAGAGGGGGTGGCATGTTGGAAGACACCCTCCCCAAAGGCATTCTATTTTCATGTCCTCCTTAAAGATAGAGACCTTATTGTATCCTGATAGAAGAAAGTCATCATGATGATCTCCTGGTGAATGCCAAAGCATTCTAGTAGCTGAAATGTCCTACCAGTTTTGGGGCCTCCTTTGTATTTATTAGAGCTTAAAGAAACTAAAGCTTAGCAATTATCTCCTATGGAATGAGACATACTGCCCCTTCCCAGTTTACTCCCTGGGATTTTACTTGGATACCAGGTCCTTGTGCCTTTTTTTTTTTTTTTTAAATTAATGACTGAGACTTGTTACCACAGGTGAGTCCATGTGCCTTCTGTTTTTGTTGGGTAGTACCATTTTCTAGGTTCAGTGGAGGGTATCAGTATTTCTGGAGGGTATCAGTGTATAGTGGAAGGCTGAAAGACATTCTGAATGAGGGAGTCTTCAGTGACACACTTCACAAAGTGCCATTGTTCCTAAGTTTAATAAGATTACTGCCTTTATGTTAGAGGTAACCTATCCATGGTTTCTTTGGGTCACTAGGCAAAGTGATCCTGGGGGTCCTACATATTTTTTAATTAAAGAAAAATTCACTGCATTATAGGCTGTCATCAGTGCCAGGGACATGTTTAGATCTAGCAGTTGTAATTGCAGGCAACTCCACATGCAGGGTCTACACAATTTTTGGTAAACAACTACTTTGTTTTCTGGTTTATCTTTCCTGTGTTTATTTTTCTAAAGGTAAGTATTTATTTTCTTTTTCTGTTTCATTTTTTTCCCAAAAGTATACTTGATAGCTTCCCATTTGCATTTTTTCCCACATAACCTTACCTCATAGTGATCCTTTCTAGTTGGGTTTTAGTGATTTTTTTAAAATTACTTTTAGAACTGCATGTATAACTCTTTGTATCACTTGTACATCATAGTTGATGTTACTTTGCTATTCAACCAATCTCATATTCTTATATATTTGGGTGCCTTTGAGTATTTTGCAATTATAAATACAGTATAATGAATAATCTTATATGTACACATTTTCACTGTTAAGTCTATGAATATATATTAACCTAAACTATAAGTAACCAAAAGGTAGGGACTAATATTAAATATATTCTATGCCAAGAAATATTTGTGAAATAATGAAGTAGTCAATTACTTCATTATTTCTACTTCAACACACACACATTAAAATTCTTCTCACCATAATGCTAGTTCTAGCATTATGGTAATTTACTTATATTTTCTATTTATAAAAGTGAGAGAAAATACTGCCATATACTTGTTGTAAATTTGATTTCTAGAGCTGTCACAATGGATCCATTTTTTTGGTTAGTGAATAATAATATATGTATCTCTTTATGTAGCTCATGATGATGTACCAGACAAAAACCTTATGTTAAAGCATGAGGACTCAAAGTCAAAAACAGAAATGCAAGTAAAGAAACAAAGAAGTACCCAAAATGAAATACTTATTAGTAAATATAATATAGATAACTCTAAATTACTTTAAATTATATTCATCAGATCTTTTTATTTGGTCCATGAATATGTATTTGGGCATATATTTTATAGAAATTTGTGTACTTTGATTTAAAGTGTGAATATCCTAAGACAAAGAACAAAAGCAAAACTATTGATAACTTCTGGTTGGAATTGCTTGTATTGAGTCTATTTCATAGTCATGGGTTATATGCTCAGTATCCACTGAAGCCCCAAAATAGATTATTTCTTTCTAATTCTTTCTTAAAGGGTGTATGTCTTTCAGCTAGCTACTTCTAGAGATGATGGATTCAGAAGTCTAACAGAAGCCTCTGAACTAGGACAGTGTTTTTTCTCCTTAAACTCCAAGTGGTGAATAGAAAGATTGTTGAGATCTGTAACTCAAAAAGAAAAATAGATCAAAGGGGCCCAGAGGATGGATAGCCTCAGTGGCTTGTTTGAGGGCTTCTAGGTCATTGTTTCTACAACAGTCACAGTGTCAGTAGTAGCAAGGGCTGTCCTATGGATTGAATGACCAAACTCAATTGAGTATCTATAAACTCAAGGCCAGGCACATGAACCAACTTATTTATTGAATGCAGATATAGTTTCAAGCAGATTTAGCTGCCTTAAGCTCAACAAAGAAGGCAGCTTTTTTCTTCTTTCCCAGGAAGATTTTTGGGAGACAAAGGTGCTAGGTGCTGGCAATTCGGTAGGTTCACAGTCTTCTTATGCCCCTCCAAAATGGCTCTAACTGCAGAAATTTCCATCAGGGCTTGGAAGAATGTGAGTGTAGTTGCATATAGATGATATATCTCTAATAATAATAAATTTATTTGTTGGTACTATAATAATGGAATTTTTTGTTGACTCAAGGGGACCCAAAGCCTGGTCTGGGTAAGTTCCATTGGTGTTTGCCTCAGACCCCAAACCAGACAGCATTATTTGTATTCTTGTCATCCTGACGTCAAAGGTTGTGATTACAACCACGCCTGTACCACTATTAAAAAGGGATTAAGAAATGCAGTTGTCCAGGGAGGGACACCTGGGTGGCTCAGTTGGTTAAGATTCTGCCTTTGGCTCAGGTCATAATCCTGTGGTCCTAGGATCAAGCCCCTTGTTGGGCTATCCCATAAGCAGTGAGTCTGCTTGTCCCCTTGCCCTCCCTTCACACACTCATGCTTCCTCTCTTTTTCTCTCTCTCAAACAAAATCTTTAAAAAAAGAAAGAAATACAATTGTACACCATTTTTGAGTTAATTTCTTTCCTTAGCAGAGGTCCATAGGTGTTCACTGAGTATATCAGGTTGTGGCCTACCCCCTAGTCATTTTCATTTTTGAAAGCTGAGAGTGCAGAGTAAAAATTGGCTGGCCTCTTTGACTCATGTAAGATTCAATGGAAGGATATTTGGGCTATTTCCATAATTTGGCTATTGTTTATAACACCGCTATACACATGGGAGTGCATATATTCCTTCAAATCAGTGTTTTTGTATCCTGTGGGTAAATACCTAGTAGTACAATTGCTGGATAGTAGGGACATTCTCTTTTTAAATTTTGAGGAACCTCCATACTCTTTTCTGGAGTGCCTGCACCAGTTTGCATTCCCACCAACAGTGTACAAGTGTTCGTCTTTTTCCACATCCTCACCAATATCTGTTGTTTTCTGTGTTGTTAATTTTAGCCATTGTGACAGGTGGGAGGTGATATCTCATTATAGTTTTGATTTGCATTTCCCTGATGATGAGTGATGTTGAGCATCTTTTCATGTGTCTGTTAGCCATTTGGATGTCTTCTTTGGAAAAATGTCTGTTCATGTCTGCTGCCCATTTCTAGACTGGATTATTTTGGGGGGTGTGTTGAGTTTGATAAATTCTTTATAGATTTTGGATACTAAACCTTTATCAAATGTCATTTGCAAATATATTCTTACATTCTGTAAGGTGCCTTTTAGTTTTGTTGATTGTTTCCTTCATCATGCAAAAGCTTTTTATTTTGATGAAGTCCCAAATATTTATTTTTGCTTTTGTTTCCCTTGCCTTTGGAGATATATCTAGTAAAATGTTGCTATGGCCCTTGTCAAAGAGGTTACTGTGTTCCCCTCTAGGACTTTGATGGTTTCATGTCTCACAGTTAGGTCTTTAATCCATTTTGAGTTAATTCTTGTGTATGTTGTAAGGAAGTGCTCTAGTTTCATTCTTCTGAATGTTGCTGTTCAGTTTTCCCAATACCGTTTGTTGAAGGGACTGTATTTTTTCCGTTGGATATTTTTTCCTGCTTTATTGAAAATTAATTGGCCAAATTATCGTATGTTCATTTCTGGTTTTCTGTTCTGTTGATATATGCGTCTATTTTTGTACACATAGATCGTATCCTGACTTTTTCTCAGATTGTGCAGGTGTAGCTGCCCAATTACCATTTTTACTCACTTTTTCTGTTGGTGAGTAGTTGCTATCTTGATGGTAACTACTATTCCATGCCCAGAAAATTGTCAGTTAAGAACTAAACTGTGTGGTAGACCAGTTGACTGGGCCTCATGAAGAAGTTTAATTGAGCTTGACATAAGGCAATTGTGGCACAAATGAACCTAGAAATCTGAGTCTAGTTAAAAATCTCATCCTCAGTTCATCAGGGTAGACCCGAGGGACTACCAGGGTGATACTTGGAGGCCACTATTGTCTCCAAAAAGTGATCCAAATGTTTTTCAGTGGAGGAATCTCTTCATGAATGGGCTTTATTTCAGAGGCCAAATAGTACCCAGCTGAGGAGGAAGACAGTCTCAGAGATGTGTGTCCTTTCATTCACTTCCTTTCCTCAACTTCTGTGGGCAACATGGCTGCTGTCCAGGCTCTACAAGAAGGAATTTTATACTAATAAGCCCTGTAGATTGCCAATCTCCCTCACTGAGTTTAAAAATATTATCTCTTGTATTGTGGAGGGGATATACCAAGTCTCTAAGGTCTTTTAAGGTCACTGGATCAAGCTCACTTCTCCTCTCCCATCTCCCAGTGTCCTCCGTGTTATTCCTTACACTGCACAAGTAATTGAAACCATATGATAATTGACTCTCTCTGCTTGACTTACTTCACTCAGCATAATCTCTTCCAGTCCTGTCCATGCTGATACAAAAGTTGGGTATTCATCCTTTTTGATGGAGGCATAATACTCCATTATGGACCATATCTTCTTTATCTATTCAGCCATTGAAGGGCATCTTGGTTCTTTACACAGTTTGACAACTGTGGCCATTGCTGCTGTGAACATTGGGGTACTGGTGGCCCTTCTTTTCACTACATCTGTATCTTTAGGGCAAATACCCAGTCGTGCAATTGCAGGGTCGTAGGGAAGCTCTATTTTTAATTTCTTAAGGAATCTCCACACTGTTTTTCAAAGTGGCTGCACCAAATTGCATTCCCACCAACAGTGTAAGAGGGTTCCCCTTTCTCCACATCCTCTCCAACACCTGTTGTTCTTGTCTTGTTAATTTTGGCCATTCTAAGTGGTGTAAGGTGGTATCTCAATGTGGTTTTGATTTGAATCTCCCTAATGGCTAATGATGAACATTTGTTCATGTGTCTGTTAGCCCTTTGTATGTCTTCTTTGGAGAAGTGTCTGTTCATCTTCATGTCTTCTGCCCATTTTTTGATGTGATTATCTGTTTCGTGTGTGTTGAGTTTGAGGAGTTCTTTATAGATCCTGGATATCAGCCCTTTGTCTGTAGTGTCATTTGCAAATATCTTCTCCCATTCTGTGGGTTGCCTCTTGGTTTTGTTGACTGTTTCCTTTGCTATGCAGAAACTTTCTCCTGATAAAGTCCCAAAAGGTCATTTATGCTTTTGTTTCCTTTGCCTTTGGGAACATGTCTTGAAAGAAGTTGCTGTGACCAATGTCAAAGAGGTTATGCCTATGCTTTCCTCTTGGATTCTGATGATTCCTGCCTCACATCGAGGTCTTTTAACCATTCTGAGTTTATCTTTGTGTATGGGGTAAGTTTCATTCTTCTCTACATAGCTGTCCAATTTTCCCAGCACCATTTATTGAATAGACTGTCTTTTTTCTACTGTATATTTTTTCCTGCTTTGCTGAAGATTATTTGACCATAAAGTTGAGGGTCCATATCTGGGTGCTCTACTCTGTTCCACTGGTCTATGTGTCTGTTTTTGTGCCAGTACCATGCTGTCTTGATGATCAGCTTTGTAGTAAAGCTTGAAATCAGGCAACGTGATGCCAAAAGTTTTGTTTTTCTTTTTCAACATTTCCTTAGCAATTTGGGGTCTCTTCTGGTTACATACAAATTTTATGATTTAGATACAGCATTTGTTCCTGATTAAAATGCTTCAAAGTATAGGGATAAAGGGAATATTCCTCAACTTCATAAAATCTATCTATGAAAAACCCACAGTTAATATCATCCTCAGTGGGGAAAAGCTGACAGCCTTTCCTTTGAGATCAGAAACATGACAAGAATGTCCACTCTCACCACTGTTGTTCAACATAGTACTATAAGTCCTAGCAACAGCAATCAGACAACAAAAAGAAATAAAAGATATTCAAATTGGCAATGAAGAAGTCAAACTCTCTCGTCACAGATGACATAATACTTTATATGGAAAACCCAAAGTCTCTACCCCAAACTACTAGAACTCATACAGCAATTCAGTAATGTGGTGGGATACAAAATCAATGTACAGAAATCAGTTGCTTTCTTATACACTAACAATGAAAATATAGAATGGGAAATTAGAGAATGGATTCCATTTACTATAGCACCAGGAACCATAAGATACCTAGGAGTAAACCTAATCAAAGAGGGGAAAGATCTGTACTTGAGGAACTACAGAACACTCATGAAAGAAATTGAAGAAGACACAAAAAGATGGAAGACCATTCCATGCTCTTGGATCGGAAGAATAAACATTGTTAAAATGTCTATACTGCCTAGAGCAATCTATATTTCAATGCCATCCTGATCAAAATTCCACCGGCATTTTTCAAAGAGCTGGAACAAACAATCATAAAATTTGTAGGACCCTATCACTTTTGCAGATGATCCAGTAGTATCCCTCAAAAGAGTCCTAAAGACTTACTAGCTCCTCCCAAAGTGCTCCTTCCAGAAAGGAATTTACTTTATTGTTGACTATGACAGTTTGTCAGAGAAAAATCTGCCAGTTTCGACTTTGTCAAGTTGTAGCAATTTTACTTTATCAAAAGTAGCAATTAAACTTTTATTCACTTACTACAATACTATAAACAAGAGCCTAAAGAGGAAAAGACCCCAGCTATACCAAGGTTTCATTCTCTACACAGAACAAACTAGGAAAGGGTCAGATGGGAGTGAGGTTTGGGGGAAGATCATCTCATAGCTGTAAGAGCCTCAAACACAAGGTTCTTCGTTTTTGAACCCAAGAGCCTTGCAGATGTTGATGAAGGATGGCTAGGAGGATAGAAGTCCTAAATATTGAGTTGAAAATGAGAAAAGTATCTTCAAATTCCCCTAGTACAGTCATCTGTTGCGAAGTGCCTGAAAAGTACAATGTATTAGCTGACTCCTCCCATTTTCACAAAGAGCCTCTAATGGAGGTACCTGGTATAGAGATGAAAAATGCATAAGTGCAAGGCATGGGTTGATCTTGGTCCTTTATGGAAACTAACTCCAGTTTCCAAAGTTCACTGGCTATGCATTAAACTTCATGTTGGGTGACAAGTTTCCCCCCCATGAGTACTGCCAGGTAGAGATTTTTGTTCTCTCTGTCTTTTAAAAATTTCTCTTCTTTCTAAATCATAAGATTGAGTACAGATTATCCCTTTTTCTCCCTTTTATTATTGTCTCCTAGAAACCCATCTAAGTCAGTTTATAAAGATCTTTATTTATCACATTAGTCATGAAAATTTATACCATGGCATAGTTGATGGGATAGAACTTAGTTTATTCAGGCAGTTTCCTATATTTGGACATTTTATGAGATTTTGAATATTTTGCAATGAAAAATAATGTGGCTATGATAATGTACATATAAATTTTCACTTTTGTCTTATTAATATGCATTAACCTAAAGTATAAATAACACAAAATTAGACAAAAAAACATTTTTAATGCAAGAAATGTTCATGAATTAAGGAGATAGCTACAACACTTACCCACTAAAAATCCTCATCACATTTTCATGTCAGATTTTACATTATAGTAATTTATTTATAGATGTTCATGTGAAAGAAAGTGCTGCTATAGATGTTATGTTTGAAACTTAAGAATTTTCACAATAGATCTGTTTTTCTATTTAGTGTTTTAAATGCATCTCTTTATGTAGTTCATGATAATATGACAGATGAAAATCCTGTGCTTGAGCATCAAGAGTCAATGTCAAAAATCCAATTGCAAGTAAAGGAACAAAAAATTGCTAAAGGGGAAAGACTCACTAGTAAGTATAATAATTATACATCACTAAATTATTATTATTATTTTTTTTTAATTATTTTTTTTAAGATTTTATTTATTTATTTGACAGAGAGAGATCACAAGTAGACAAAGAGGCAGGCGGAGAGGGAGAGAGGGAAGCAGGCTCCCTGCTGAGCAAAGAGCCCGATGCGGGACTTGATCCCAGGACCCTGAGATCATGACCTGAGCCAAAGGCAGCGGCTTAACCCACTGAGCCACCCAGGCGCCCCTATTTTTAAATTAATCATATCAAAAGATGGTTTTTCTGTGGTTCATGAATATGTGTATGAGCATATATTTTGTAGAAAATTTACTACACTTTGATTTAAAATATCCTAATTGGAGAACAAAGTCAAAGTATTCATAACTTTTGTTGGTTTTTGGATGTAAGACTATTTCACATCCATGGGTCATGTGCTCAGTATCCACTAAGGCCCAACAACAGATCGATAGTATCTCAAGGAGTATATACCCTTGAGGGAGATGTTGGTTTCAGTAGCCCAACAGTCACCTTTGACTTGTGGCATTATCCTTCTGTCATAGACTCAAATTGGTAGAGACTTTGGTGAGAACCACAACTCAAAAGTCAAATGTGGATCAAAGGAACTAAACAAAAAGGGGGCCTGATGGGCCTGTTGAAGGAGCTATAACGCATCCTGTTGATTGGGATCCACTCAAAGGCAGAAGCCTTTTTGGTAACCTTATAGATGGATGCCATTGAGATGCCTGCATGGGTAATATGAGAGTACCAGTAGCTGAATAGTCCTACCAATTGCTGGGTCTCCTTTGTATTTGTTGGGCTAGAGAAGGAAAAAAGAAACTTGACTCCTTGGAGCTTCACGTGAGAAAAGGTACTCTTTTCCATTTTGCTCCCAAGTATTTTACTTGAGTTTTTGGTTCTTGTACCTTGTATATATTCATGGTCCAGCTGTGTTGCTGCATGCGAGTCATTACAATATCTAGTCCTTGTGGGTAGTGCTCTAGTTTGGGTCCAGAGGAGAATGTCATCAATATTAGTAGAAGGTTAGTACTTGATCTAGAAGAAGGGCTTTTTTTTTTTTTTTTCATGTTTTGGGCTTATGGAAGGACAGTAAAAGTATATTATAAGCCATTCCACATAAGGTAAACTTATGATCCTAATTAACCTGTGTGAACAGGGATACTAGGACGGGCATTTGTGATAGCAATTGTTACATACCTATTTCACTCAGTCTGGGCAGTAAACCTCTGTGAAGGTCACAATTCCAAGTGACACCACATCGAGTTCTGTACTGTGGTGGTGAGCTGACTATAATCAATTGTGTCTCTAGGCACCCAAGGCCTTACACACAGAATGAAAAGGCTTATGAATAGAGAAAAATGTCATGGAGGACTTCTGTTTCATTAAACTTACCAATGAAGGCAAATATTTTTTTTTTGCTCCCCCAGGTAGTTGTTTTTGGATGGCAAAGGTCCAAGGCACTAGTAGCCTGGTAGGTTTATAGCTTTATATATGCCAAACTAAAATGGTCCTAAAATATAGCAGTTGCCACTAGGGCTTAGGGGTAAAAGTGAGTCAGATATATGTAGAAAATACATCTATACAATAATACATTCAATAATGGAAGCCACAGCAATGGAGATTTTTAGTGGTCTGTAGGGACATACCCCTAGTTGAGTTTTTTTTTTTTTAAAGATTTTATTTATTTATTTGACAGACAGAGATCACAAGTAGGCAGAGAGGCAAGCAGAGAGAGAGAGAAGGGGAAGCAGGCTCCCCGCTGCCCAGAGAGCCCAATGTGGGGCTCGATCCCATGACCCTGGGATCATGACCCGAGTTGAAGGCAGAGGCTTCAACCCACTGAGCCACCCAGGCGCCCCACCCCTAGTTGAGTTTTAAGGGTCTCATTTGGTGAACTCAAACCCAAAGCAATTGGACATTATCTATTTCCCCCTCATCCTAGTGTCATTGGCTACCGAGATCATAATCATATGTATATCAATGTCCAAAAGTCCTAGAAATTCAGTTCGCATCCACCTTCCCATTGAAGTATGACCTAAGCATACATCCTTATGTCTCAGTCGGGGATATAGGGACCTCGACCTAACTCTGGTTCTTGTTTGTATTGAAAGTTGAAAGATTGGATAGAAGTAGGTGATGTGGGAAGGAGAGGTCTCTGGTTATCTCAAGGTTTACTGAGAAGTGCAGAAGGAAGAACACTTGTATTAATCATAGATATCATCACCATTTGGCTTCTAGTGTGGCTATTGGTTGGTCATTTATGGACCACTATCTGGTGATGAATTCTTGATGGAGAGTTCATTAATGTCATCCTTGAGACTCCACTGTTGGGTTACCAGACCCAGAGATTTCCTTGATTGTTAAGAAGTAGGTTCCTGGGGCACCTGGGTGGCTCAGTGGGTTAAGCCGCTGCCTTCGGCTCAGGTCATGATCTCAGGGTCCTGGGATCGAGTCCCACATCAGGCTCTCTGCTCAGCAGGGAGCCTGCTTCCCTCTCTCTCTCTGCCTGCCTCTCTGTCTACTTGTGATCTCTGTCTGCCAAATAAATAAATAAAATCTTAAAAAAAAAAAGTAGGTTCCTGATTAACATATTTTAAGTCACTCCTTTCACTAGTCAAACTTTTTATCTTAACGTTAGCGGGTTTTTTCCTTGCCCTGAAATTTGTCAGTTAAGATCCAGGTTGTCTTGTAAGCCAACAGATATAACTTCATAAGGAGGTTTAATGGAGCTAGAAACCAGCAAATATGGCACAAATGACCCTGTAAATCTGAGGCTAGTTAACAGTATCATTACCTACTTACTGCTCTTGCTCCCCATTGTTTAACAAAAGGGCCATCAAAGTGGCTAATTGGACATCTTGTAGGTGGCTATAAAGGTGGTCCAAACAACATTTTTGGTGTTAGGATGCTTAACATGGGTGGGCCAGACCTGAGAAAGGAGTGTATCTGGTATTCATCTTATTGCCTTCCCCCGCTTCCTTGTCTTCCTTGAGCAAGTGACCACTGTGAGGGCACTCTGAATGAGTGGCTCTGTTGTGATGTATTCCCTCACTAAGTTTCACAAGTTACCTCCTTAATGATTAAGGCAAACTACCCCATATTATATTACCTCTTCAGCTCACTGGAAAAGCAATTTTGAAGGTTCATTAAAAATGGGCCTCAGAAATTTACTACATCATAGGTTGTTCATTAGTGCTAGGGATATTCTTAGACTAACAGTAGTTTAGTGCAATTCAGCAAGCATGGTTTACAATGACTTTGGAAAAAAACCCTGTCTTTTTTCCTCATTTATCTCTCATGTTTCATTTTATAAAGGTATATACATTAAAATTTTCTTTCTGTTCTTTATTAAAAGAGAATTCACTAGATAACCTCTCTATCATTTTTTTAATCCACTTAACATTATAACCTAGAAATTACTCCCAATTTGATGAGATCCTTTTTTCTTTCCTTTTATAATTGCATGTACAGTTGTTTGGACCATATTATATACCATAATCAATATTACCATAGTTTATACTATATACTTTAGCTTATCAAACTAATCTCCTATGTTTGTACATTTATGTGATTTTGAGCATTTTGCAATTAAAAATATGCTGTAATGAATAAACTTGTACATACATATTCTCATTGCTTGGTCTATAATTGTGTTTTAATATAAAGTATTAAGAAAACTAAAGACTAAATTTAAACATTTGAGAACTATGAATATTAATAAAATAATGAGATACTTTCGATATATATCCATTAAAACTCTTCTTACTATTTTCATATTGGATCTAGAATTAAGATAATTTACTTACAACTTTTTAAAAATATAAGAAAATATTTCTATACATTTTTCAATAATTTGAAAGTATAGAATCTCACAATATATTTGTTTTCCCATTTATTGAACTAAATGTCACTCTTTATGTAGCTCACAATAAAGTACCAGAAAATTTTATGCTTGAGCCTCAAGATTCAATGTCAAAAACCCATCTGCAAGTAAAGAAAAAAAGAACTTCTAAAGGGGAAAGAGTCAGTAGTAAGTATAGTAATTGTAGATAACTTTTAAAAAATATAAATTCAATTATCCAACATACAGTATATACTTGTGTCAGATGAAGTGTTCAATAATTTCTCAGTTGCATATAACACCCACTGCTCATCACATCATGTGCCCTCCTTAATGCCCGTCACCAAATTACCTCATCACTCCACCAACCTCCCCTCCAGCAACTCTCAGTTTGTCCCTTTTATAGTTGAGTCTTTCATGGTTTTTCACCCTCTCTAATGACTTCCCATTCAGTTTTTCCTCCCTTACCCTATGATCCTCTGTGCTGTTTCTTATATTCCACATATGAGTGAAACCATAGGGTAATTGTCTTTCTCTGATTGGCTTATTCCACTCAACATAATATCTTCCAGTTCCATTCACGTCAGTGTAAATGGTAAGTATTCAGCCTTTCTGATGGCTGAGTAATATTCCATTATATGTATGAACCACATCTTCTTTATCCATTCATCAATGAGATGTCCATGTTGAAGGACATCTCGGTTCCTTCCATAGTTTGGCTATTGTGGAGATTGCTGCTTTGAACATTGGGGTGCAGGTGCCCCTTTGGATCACATTTGTATCTCGGGGTAAATCCCTAGTAGTGTAATTGCTGGGTCATAGGGTAGCTCTATTTTTAACGTCTTGAGGAACCTCCATACTGTTTTTCAGTGTGGCTATACCAGCTTGTGTTCCCACCAACAGTGTAAGAAGGTTCTCCTTTATCCATATCCTTGCCAACATTTGTTGTTTCCTGTCTTGTTAATTTTAGCGATTCAGACAGGTGTAAGGTGGTATCTCATTGTGGTTTTGATTTGTATTTCCCTGATGGCTAGTGATGTTGAACATTTCTCATGTGTCTGTTAGCCATTTGTAAGTCTTCTTTGGAGAAGTCTCTGTTCATATCTTCTGCCCATTTCTTTACAGGACTTTCTGGTTTTTTTGGGTGTTGAGTTTGAGAAGTTCTATAGATCTTGGATATGAGCCCTTTATCTGTAATGTCATTTGCAAATATCTTCTCCCTTTCCATGGGTTGCCTCCTGGTTTTGTTGACTGTTTCCTTTGCTGTGCAGAAGCTTTTTCTCTTGATGGAGTCCCAAATTTCATTTTTGCTTTTGTTTTCCTTGCCTTTAGAGACATGTCTTGAAAGAAGTTGCTATGGCCAGTGTCAAAGAGTTACTGACTATGTTCTTCTCTAGGATTTTGATGGATTCCTTTATCACATTGAGGACTTTTATCCATTTTGGTTTATCTTTGTGTATGGTGTATGAGAATGGTCCAGCTTCATTTTTCTGCATATGGCTGTGCAACTTTCCCAGCACCATTTATTGAAGAGATGGTCCTTTTTTCATTGGATGTTCTTTCCTGCTTTGTCGAAGATTAGTTGACCATAGAGTTGAGGGTCCATCTCTGGGCTCACTATTCTGTTCCATTGATTTATGTTTCTGTTTTTGTGTCAATAGCATGCTGTCTTGATGATTACAGCTTTGTAATATAGCTTGAAGTCAGCATTGTGATGCCACCATCTTTGGTTTTCTTTTTCAACATTCCCCTATTCAGACTCTTTTCTGGATGCATACAAATTTTAGAATTGTTTGTTCCAGCTCTGTGAAAAGTGTTAATGGTATTTTGATAGGGCGTGCCTTCAAAGTGTAGATTGCTCTGAGCTGCATAGACATTTTTAAAAATTTTTTTTAAATGTATTTTCAGCGTATCAGTATTCATTGTTTTTGCACCACACCCAGTGCTCCATGCAATACGTGCCCTCTCCAATACCCACCTGGTTCCCCCAACCTCCCACCCCCGCCCCTTAGGACCCTCAGATTGTTTTTCAGAGTCCATAGTCTCTCATGGTTCACCTCCCCTTCCAACTGCATAGACATTTTAACAATGTTTATTTTTCCAATCCATGAGCATGGAATGTTTTTCTATCTCTTTTTGTCTTCCTCCATTTCTTTCATAAGTGTTCTGTAGTTTCTAGAATATAGATCCTTTACCTCTTCGGTCAAGTTTATTCTTAGTTATCTTATGGGTTTTGGTGCTATTGTAAATGGAATAGATTCCTTAATTTATCTTTCTTCTGTGTCATTGTTAGTTTATAGAAATGCTACTATTTCTGTGCATTGATTTTGTATCCTGCCATGTTGCCAAATTGTTGTATGAGTTCTAGTAATTTAAGGTGGAGTCTTTTGGGTTTTCCACATAAAGTATCATGTCATCTGTGAAGAGAGAAAGTTTGACTTCTTTTTTGCCAATTTGAATGCCTTGTATTTCTTTTTCTTGTTGATTGCTAAAGCTAGGACTTCTATTAATGCTGAACAATAATGGTGAGAGTGCAGTGCACATCTCAGTTTTTCCCCATTGAGAATGATTTTTGCTGTGGGCTTTTCACAGATGGTTTTTATGATACTGAGATATGTTCCATCTATCCCTGTACTGTGAAGAGTTTTAATCAGGAAAGGATGCTGTATTTTGTCAAATGCTTTTCCTGCACCTATTGAGAAGATCATATGGTTCTCATCCTTTCCTTTATTAATGTGATTTATCATGTTAGTTGAAAGTTTGATTTCTTCTTTGCTAATCTGAATGCCTTTTATTTCTTCTTATTGTCTGCTTGCTGAGGCTAGGACTTCTAGTATTATGTTGAACAACAGTGGTGAGAGTGGGCATCCCTGTCATGTTCCTGATATTAGGAGAAAATATCTCAATTTTTCTCCATGAAGAATGGTATTTGCTGTGAGCTTTCGGTAGATTGTTTTTATGATATTAAGGTTTACTCCCTCTGTCACTATTCTGTGGAGAGTTACAGCATCCAAGAAAGGATACTGTAATTTTGTCAAATGTTTTTTCTGCATCAGTTGAAAGGATTATATAGTTCTTTTCTTTTATTAATGTGATGTATCATGTTAATTGATTAGTAAATGTTTATCCACACTTGCAGTCCAGAAATAAATCCCAGTTGGTCATGGCAAATAAACCTTTTCATGTAATGTTGGATCCTGTTGACTAGTATCTTGGTGAAAATTTTGGCATCCCTGTTCAACAGGGATATTGGTCTCTAATTCTCCTTTCTCCTTTGTCTGGTTTTGTGATCAAGGTAATCTGGCTTCATAGATAGAGTATGGAAGTTTTCCTTCCATTTCTATTTTTTTAAACACCTTCAGAAGAATAGGTATTAATTCTTTAAATGTTTGGTAGAATTCCCCTGGAAATTCATCTGGCCCTGGACTCCTTTTTTGTGTGGAGGGGGGAGGTTTTGATTACTGCTTTAATTTCCTTGCTGGCTGTGAGTCTGTTAAGATCTTCTATTTCTTTCTTTCTTTCTTTTTTTCTTTTCAGTGTTCCAGAATTCATTGTTTATGCACCACACCCGGTGAGATCTTCTATTTCTTCCTGGTTCAGTCTTGCTAGTTTATAAGTTTCCAGGGGTGCAATTAGGCAATTTCTTCCAGATTGCCTAATTTGTTGACATATAGTTGCTCATAATATGTTCTTAAAATTGATTGTATTTCCATGGTGTTGGTCATGATTTCTCCTCTTTCATTCATGATATTATTAATTTGGGCCCTTTCTCTTTTCTCTTTGATAAGTCTGGCTAGGGGTTTATCAATTTTAATTCTTCCATAGAACCAGCTTCTAGTTTCATTGATCTGTTCTACTGTTCTTTCGGTTTCTATTTCATTGATTTCTGCTCTAATCTTTATTATTTCCCTTCTGTTTGGATTAGGTTATTTGCTCTTCATTCTCCAGCTCCTTTAGGTTTAATTTTATCTTATGCATTTGAGTCTTTTCCTGAGGGGAAGGTGGAGGGTTGCCACATTCCTGTTTTTTGCAGAACTCCTGCACTAAGAGCTGTCTCACCATTGTGTGTGTACCCACTACCCCCATCTCAAGGGAGGGTGAAAGTTCCCTGCTTTCCTGTCCTTTGCAGGGTCCCCACAAGGACTGTGGCTGTGTTGGGTTGTGGCTTGCAGTTTATGGTGAACCAAGCTAAGACGTGCCTCCTGGTTCGCTGAGTGTAACCAGTTTGCTTGCTTGGAAACTCTACTGGCTCAGGCATCCCCATTCCTCTGTGACTCCAGGGATTCTGAGACCATGTTCTTCCACCTAGAATTCTGCCCCCTTTCACCACCTAAGCACCTTTAAGGCAGGAATTGCCTCTCCTTGGAGCAGATTTCAGGGGTTCCGGTTTTGTTCTCCAGGCCTATAGAGTGGTAGCCAGCTTACTGAGTCTCCTTCTTCCTGCCATTTATTTTCCAAAATATCCCCTCAGATTCACTTCTCCATACCTCTTACCTTGCAAAAAGTGGTTGCTTTTCTACTTGTAGAGTTCCACACATTCTTTTCTTACATCTAAGGTTGAATTCATGAGTGTTTAGAATGATTTGATAGTTATCTAGCTAAATTCAAAGGGCCAGATGAAACAAGATCCCCTAATCTTTTATCATCTTGCCTCCTCTAAGGCAGGGACTTATAGATAACCTTAAATAAAACTCATTGGAAGATTTTTTTTTAGTTCATAAATATATATAAATATATATTTGATTTATAGAAATCATACCTTGACCTACAATTTAAGTACCTAAAAAGAACTAGAGGACAAACCCAGAAGAATTCATAGACTTTGGTTGGTATTTCTTGTCCCATAGTTACTTTGTAGTTATAGAGCCACCACTCAGTATCCACTAAGGCCCTGTAACTGGCCACTAAGTGTCTCTGAAAGAATGTGTACCTTTCATCTGACTCTTGGAGATAGGGGTTTAGAAGCCCAAGGGGGTGCTTCTGACCTGTATCAGTGGCCTCTGCCTACCTTCTTTCAGTGAATAGAGATGTTGCTAAGTTCTGTAAATCAAAGAGCTGATATAGATTAGAGGGCCCAGGGAAGGGCAGCCTGGTGGCCTGTTGGAAGGCCTTTGTGGCATCCTCTTGGTCATGGCCCCACTGAAAGGAAGTGGCCCTTCTACTTATCCCACAGACCCTATTCCCCATAG